TAAAATCTTATTTTAAAAAGGAGCCCAAGTATTTATTATTTTACCCTTTAAATAATCAATATTATTCAAGGGCCTATGTAAACTAAACTAGTTTACATTAACAACCCACAAGTTTACCCTTTTGCCCTTTAACAATTAAAAGATTATTTTAGTTCATCTCATTTATCTTAACGCTTTAAGATATAATAATTAAATACAATTAATTATTACTTGACCATTTTAACCCTTAAAATGTCACAAATAATTTTCTATGTAACTATTACCATAGAAATCCTGTCATTACCCTCGGAAGGTGCTAGCCCTCTTCGGATAATCATTTCTCTCTCTTATTCTTCTCTAACTTCTCAAGGCTATTGGTGTGACCATGTAAGTCCACCGTGGATTAGCCGTGAGTCAGTTCTGGATGAATCTGAAAACTTGTCTGGAGGCCCAACGACTATGGTAAACATCTAGCAATGTGCCATAGTCCCTAAACCACGATGAAAAAATACTTCATCGAACCCATTTCAAATCATATGTACCATGCAGGTAAAGTCCCTCTATTGATATATCCTGATCGAGTACGGATTCATGGAACGTCAAAAACCTAAACTCGATCTTCTATTGAATCGTCGATCAATATGTCCGAAACTCGTCATCACGAACTTGCTTTCGTATGACTAATAATAGACTCTGGCCAGAGATTCTGATTTCTGACATTTATCGACGTTCATCCAGGAACTCGAATCCGGATGGACTCAGCGGTACTCGTGATCCTATATTTCCAAGTCAATAGATCCCTTTTTGACCATCGTTTGTTTCCGCATATGAACAACGCATGACCAAATAGACTTTATCATACGAAACATGACTAGTCTCATACTTATACACCGTATGAACCATACGCATCCGTATCGTATCTGACCACAATGTCATAGGTCAAATGACTACATCGTGCACTGATATAACCAAATGATAAATCATTGACTATATGCTTTTCCAAGTGATTTGTCATTATTCTGTCATGTTCGAAAAACAGTTCACCAACTGCTAATCCATACTAATGCCCTAGTGACATGACTATCATCATCATCCGTACTTCTATCAACTCATGATATCTTTCAGAAGCATCCAGTATGCCTACTATGCAATATAATTGCCCAAATTATATTGCTTTCATAGGGAACTCTTTTTGATAATTTATTTACCGATTAAATGAATCATCTGGACAATTCATATGCATACTTTATTTTAAATACATGACTGAATAAAGAAAGCAATTTATATATATGAATTGAAGAACTATTTCTTCTATTATTTATGATATATATTGATACAAGACAAAATGCTCTGAAACCGACAACAGGAATGGTTTCTAAGGCATACACTAATATACACTAACAGGGAAGTTTATATTCAGATGGTTGATAGAGGTGACAGCCTTGAAATTCCATAGTAAAGGTCGTACTAGGATGCCATTGAAGGCGGACATACAATCTACCATCAAGAACTTCGTCACCTTCGTCACTTTGTTGGTTTCTCCCAACATGACGGGGAGTGCAATCGTTCCCTTGGGAATCAGGTGATCTCTGGTAAAACCATAGAGGGGGAAGGAGGCAGGCTTTAGGTCTGCCTCGTTTAGTTGCATTCTTTCGAAGGCTTGCTGGAACAGGATATTCACGATGCTCCTATTGTCGACCAATATTCTATGGACCTCACATAGGCCTATTTCAGGCGCGATGATGAGTGTATCATCGTGGGGGTGATGTAATCGTACTGCGTCTTTTTCAGAGAAGGTAGTTTCTTCTTCCCTGCAGATCTTAGCAGTTCGCGGCTCCGTGCTCATTACACTCAACGGGTCATGGTGAGCTTCCCGGGCATAACTTTTCTAGGCGCCTCGAGAGTTCCTCGTGAGGTGGGCCCCCCAAAAATGATCCCTACACAATAGAGCCCCATGCAACCACATCGCATTTTCCCCTGTTCCTCTTGATCTTTTTCCCGAATGGGAGTCAAACCGTCAACATACTCCTTAAAGTGCCCTTGTTTGATGAGGTCTTCGATCGCTTGCTTGAGAGCCCGACACTCATCAGTGTGATGCCCATTATCCCAATGATAGCGACAGTATTTTTTGCTGTTCCTAGCTGAAGAGGGATTTTTCATGGGCTTCGGTTCTCCGAGCAGGCTGGTCTTTTCTGATTTATCTAGAATTGCCAATACTAAGGCATTCAAAGGAGTGTACTGGTTCTTGTTGCGATTGCGACGAGGAACTGGGGTGTAAGAATTTTTGGGCTCGAATCACTATTTCTTCCCTTGGCACTGATCGTCATTAGCCTAACTACGATCAGCCCTTCTACTGTTCTCCCCCCGGTCGGGAACACTGGTTGACGAACTGGGGTTGTGGCAATTGAGAGCAGCCACAAAATTTTCTATTCGGAGATACTTCTTGGTGAGGTCATTGAAACAAGTGAGGGAAACATCGTCCTCTGACTGTAGTTCTTTCCACAAGTCAGTCTGCGGGCGAACCCTTGTGATAATAAGAGTCCGAATGGACTCTTCTGGAGTGTGAGCCACTGTGTGGAGTTCGCGGTGAAACCTGTCTATATATTATTGGAAGGACTCATCCCTTTCCTACCGTATATTGCTCAGATAGCTCAACGGCATTGAGAAATTCTTGTTCGCCTGGAAGTGCCTTAAGAATAACGAGCTCATTTGTTGCCATGAGATTATTGTCCCCGCGGGGAGTGACTTGAACCAGCGCTTGGCATGGGCGGTTAATGTCACTACTAAGCAGCGACATTTGGCCAAGTCGAAGACTCGGTGTAGTTCCATAAGGTCATTGAACTCATAGAGGTGGTCCTGCGAATCAGAATTTTCATCAAATGCTCACATGTCGGGCATCCTGAATCTTGATGGGAGAGGAGCAGCTAGTACTACAAGAGAGAAAGGGGACGCTTTAGCAACCTTACCCTGTTCGTTCTGCTGAGCCTTGAGCTGATCCAATTGTCACTGCAACTTCTCGATTTGAGATAGCGGAGCTATCGGGGGGTTACTTTCTGTAACTTGGGTTCGACCCTCACGGTTACGATTAAGGAAGGACCGAAGGTCGGGCCTTTTTGTTGCTCTATCGGAAGCTCCAGCGCGCCCTGACACATGTTGGCTAGAGCCGTGTGAGTGTAGCAAATGGTTCGGGGAGTTTTCCTGACCCCCACGGTGGTCAGAACCGACTCGCAGACGGTGGGGGTTCCCCCGATGGCGATGGTTGGGACCATTACTTTGATGAGGCTAGGAGTTCCCCTTGCCTACACTTTTACAGGTGTGCCCATACGATGTGGCGTGGGATGGCTCAGGCTGCGACATGTCACCAAGTTGCAATGCCACGAGTATTATACCCGCTGTGTGTCCGGTGTTCGCTAGCCCCTCAGAGACTCCAGGTTCACTGGTCACCACTTGTTTCCCCTTACTTTTACGCGCTACAGTGCATGCGGTTCGGGCCTCTACCCTTTTTTGCGTCTTTGCGTGACCTATGGGCGTCTTTGGCGATGGCACCGCCTCATTAGACTCTGGTGGTATGACTTGGTTCAAACGGTCCAACCTTCGGCTAATCGTTTGGAGAGTATTGTTGAACCTCTCCAGGTTATTCATTACGGCTGGGTCGAGTTGTGAGCTCGAAGGAATATTTACCATGATGCTCTATTGGGCTGTGACACTTCAAGAGAAGTGTCGTTCTATACATGGGGAACTTCCTCATTGTCGACATTGGGTTGCTCAGTTTCGAAACCGCGAAACATTGGCTAGTGGATGGAATTGGTTAAAGGTTTCTGATAAAGAGCAGATACTAGATCACGCCCTCCTTCTAGCATCAAACTTTTGAACTTGATTTTGACACCAACTATTCGCACGTGCAAAGTGCAAAGTGCTAAGCGGACTAAGAAATTACACGTGATGAATTCAAGAGATTTAAAGATGATACTGAAACATAAATAAAAGATTCGCAAGAGGAGTTTTTATAGTGGTTCGGATGCTCAAAAGCGAATTCTACGTCCACTGTGATTATATTAATAGGGGGTTACAGTCAAGTCGCATTCGACGAGCTGAGTTACAATAGAGAGAGTGAATGGGTAGAGAGAGAGAGAGAGAGAGAGTTTTAGATGGTGAATGAGCCAATCCTATAAAATGGAGGAGAGCCCCCTATTTATAGTGGGAGGATCCAAGATGGCAATCATGATTCTTCGTGCGAGCAGGTGTGGTACAATTCCTAACCCGCTTCCTATTGGTTGCCTATACGAGAGGTATCCTTAAATCGTGCACAACTTCAGCAAGTGGACAACTTCCAGCCACTCATAGGCCTGGCGTTCACCTGCCTTACTGACGATGGCCTTACCTCTCTGGTCCTTGCAGGACATGACTGCATCCTGGCGTCAGAAAACCTTCTTGAATTCTGATTGGTTCTTGTTGACGCATGCTTACGCCAACCCTAGTTCTTGGGCATAACATATTCAAATCTGAACTTGAGAAATTTCAAAGGCACAATTTCTTTATCTTTTAGAAGAAGGAAATCTTGATTAATTAAACGGAGAAAAAGTTGATTATTGCTCCTTTCCAAATTTTAGTTGATGGTACATATTTTCACAAGAAAGAATCAGAGTCTCAACCTAGACAAAAGAGAAAAGTCATTCATTGGCTACAAAGTGTGGAAAAAATTATGGACCACATCAACCTCAACTTAACTCTTAACTTCCGTGGACCCAAACGCCCATTTCATATTCAATTTTGACAAATGAACCGGGCCATTACAGCCCAAAAACAATATTTCATGTAGATTAGATACTTTTCTTCACAAAATGATACATCTCCAGTCACAATTTTACAGTAAGCGAGGTCAGAATCAAACATCTCTGTCACCTTGCTCTTTGTAGCGTGGAACTTATCTTTCCACATATTCCTTCTCATTAACAAACTATTCCCATCCATCTTCTCAATCTTTAATTCTCATGCCACTCTCAACGCCTTTTAACCCTTTCATGGCAAGAAAAAAGTCCAGAGCTTCCACCACAGATGAATTATCGATAATAAAAGCAGCTGCATGGGCGTGGTACCAACACGGGTCCGGTTCCGAGCGGAAACCTATGGGCGAATTCGACATCACGAGAACGAGACGACAGCGAAAACCTTCACTTTACAAACTGGAAGCCATGAAAATCACAGAGGAAGAAGATCATAGTAACACACAACCCTCCTCTCAGAGTTCGAGTCCAGTCCATGATAATAAATCTCTTCTTGATCCTTACGAGATTGAAAGTATTTCCAAACGGCTGGATCAACTTATGGAAAACTCTAGTGTCAACAAATTTTATGATGATAGGAAGAAAGTTTCAAGGGATGGTGATCATGACAGTGGTGGGAATGTTAGGAAGAAAAAGTCTAACAAATTGAGAGGGTTTTGGCAGCCAGTTTTGTGTGGGAGAAGGGAAGATATTGCGGCGGCAGATACAAGGTTGGTGGGGGGGTGGGGGGGTGGGCGAAACGGCCGCCAGAAAAGGGTGTAGCGGTGGTTAAGTTGACAAGTTGCAGGCCACGAGCAACACATGCCTAATGAATAATTTTGTGAGTTGGGTTTCTGGTATGATCGTTGGGTGCATATTAAATTGGATCTACTGTGCATGTGCAACTGTATTTCTGGAAATTACATGCTTCAATTAATTTACCGCGAGCTGATATATCTGTTAACATGCATGTACATTCTGATCGAATTTATAGCTTACAATTAGATTTGTTGATTAATATTTACTTTGAGAAGCTGATAGTAGAAACCTTGTAAATGAAGTACTAAAAACAGAAAAGTTAGAGCATACATTAAGAAAGACTTGTAATATTTAAAAGAGTTTTAAAAAGAGATTGCATTTGAAATCATATATTCATTTTTCTTAAAATATTCCTTAGAATCCAAAGTTGTCTTTTGGCTTTAATCTTCTAAAAAACTAATTTGAAATTGCAAGGAAGGCATACACTATCGAAATTGCCGGAAAATACAATTTCTGCCTGGGGCAGGCTTTCTCCAGCGCGAAATTTTCGCTGGCATATTGTCCATAGACTATACTTGTACAAAAGTGAACCAATTATATATATTTCATTGCTATAATTGTACGATCCACGAACCGTAATCGACTTACAGATTTGACGTTTAGGTACAAATTAAGTAATCCAAAAATTTCATATGGTTATCGAATTTATGGCAATTAGGTGGTACAATCCTGCAGCAGCACGTGGTTGATGTCTTATGTATTGTCTCTTGTTTGATAGGAACTTTGTGCGGGTAAAAGGAATCATCAATCCATATCACTGAATTTTGGTGGGAACCAACTCAAGATAGCCGATGGTGCGCCCACCACTTTATGTGGTTGCATGAAAGAACAAACCAATGAGTATTTCTACTGAATTAACTTTAGTTCGATCTTTGTATTTGGCCAAGAAGCGAAAAAGATAAAAAGGGTAACATCAATATATTTTTCACGTGACTATTATCAGATATAGTGGAGGATTCTTAAACGTACGTATCCAATGTTTCTCAATTGCATTCTTCAACAAAGAAAACTTGAACTGCAGCCTAAACATATCAATTAGTTTTGTGCTCTCATCATAACTATCGAGAGTTAAGTTAAGATTACTTATGATAATTTTTAATGAATTGGAAGCATATTTGGTTATCAATTGATGTCTGAGCAGAAAATCATATTTTTCCCAGCTCAGTTAGGTCTTATTTCTTACAGTCACAAAAAACAAACACTAACATCAAAAAGGGCTTCGATGTTTAAGATTGAGCTTTTGAAACTTATATAAAGTGTAAATTAAGAGTTAAGAAGACTAGAAGAGTTTCTGTGAAAGTGTCATGGTTTTGGTCTGACCATTTTCTTGGAGATTATGGTTTTGTTTGCATAGCTTTAACTACTTTGATCATGGATTCGCTGTGTGATGTTAAGGGTTCTAAAAAATAAAAACATGTCTATAATTGTCAGGGTATAAGTACTGTGTTTTGATAATTGTTGAGGATGAGAAGTTTTGGCTATATGTTGTGACACTGTTACCATCTTCTTAAATTTGGATGCACAGTTACACCGCAAACTTTTCTTAAATTAAATTGTCATTTGAATTTGAACAACTTAGATTATGAATTTAGGTTTAATTCTGCCGATTCCACCAACCTTGATCTATATCATTTTCTCTTTACTAGCTTGCCCTTATTTATTTGAACTTCTGGGCTCTTATTTTGTACCCTTCAAACTTGATGATTTACAATGTTTTCCTTGTAACTAATTACGGAGATAAATCAAAATTTTTAAAATTTTAATTATGTTCGTACTCTGTAGTGTTAAAAACACTTTTCTTGGAACAAATAACCTCACCCCCAAATACAATCCCTCTTGTTTTTGGAATTACCCATTGATGTTAGTCCAAACAATACAATGTCAAGAGAAACGTTGATTTAAAATGAAGAAAAGGCGTAATTTAATTGACCCCTTATGTTTTCCGAAATTACAACAAACACATGCTGGTATGAAAAATTACCTTAAACACCCCCATCCAATATCCATCCTCGTACTTGACATTCGTCTGTAATTTCTGAAAACTCCGGTGGATTCAAGGCAAAATAACTCCAACCAAAAAGTGCCATATGATCGTCTCCAGCGACAACCCATCTGCTTGAACACTCAATCCATGGCCGCACTCAAAATCCCAAGATTCCCTTTCTCACACACTTCAAGGAACCTCTCCTTCTTCAACTACTCTTCTTGGTACTCACCTCCCTCTCCTTACCATGACGACCCTCTTCTCACAACAATTTCTGAAGCAATCAAAACTTCAGCGACAACATCTAACACTTCTTCACTTAAAAATATCCTCCCTTCTCTTACTCCCTCTCATCTCATCAACCTTATCAACCACAACCCTCACTCTCTTTCCCCCAACTCTCTCTTTTCCTTCTTCAACTTCCTCTCTTCACAGCCTCACTTTCGTCTCACGCTACAATCCTATTGTGCAATGATTCATTTTCTTATTGCCCGTAAAATGCTCTCTCAAGCCCAACGTCTTCTTCATTTGGTGGTTTCTAAGCAAGGGAAGGGCTCAAGTTCCAAACTTTTTGCTTCGGTTTTGGAAACCAGAGGTATCCATTTGTCTGATTTTTTTGTTTTTGATGCTATGATGATTGTTTATACGGATTTAGGGTTTGTAAATGATGCTGTTCAGTGTTTTAGGTTCGTTAGAAAGCATAATTATCGTATTCCTGTTAATGGGTGTAGCTGTTTGCTTGATAGAATGATGAAAACGAGCTTGACTATGGTGACTTGGGGGTTTTATTTGGAGATTTTGGATTATGGGTATAAGCCAAGTGTGTACATTTTCAATGTTTTGATGCATAGATTGTGTAAAGAAGGTAAAGTTAAGGATGCCCAAGTGGTTTTTGATGAGATTAAGAAGAGGGGTTTGCGTGTGACGGTTGTAAGTTTCAATACTTTAATTAATGGGTATTGTAAAGCTAATAATTTAGAGGAGGGATTTAGGTTGAAGAGTGTCATGGTGGATAGTGGAATGCAGCCAGATGTTTACACTTATAGCGTTTTGATCAATGCATTGTCTAAAGAGAGTAGGTTAGATGATGCAAAATTGCTTTTTGATGAGATGTGTGGAAGAGGGCTGGTCCCAAATGATGTTACTTTTACTATCTTGATTGATGGGCATTGTAAGAATGGGAGGGTTGACTTCGCCATGGATATTTATCAGCAAATGTTGAGGAGAGGTTTGAAGCCTGATTTGATAATGTATAATACGCTCATCAATGGCCTTTCCAAGATTGGGAATTTAAAGGGAGCAAGGAAACTCATTGATGAGATGTATGCAAGGGGTTTTAAGCCTGATAAAGTTACTTATACGACGCTCATAGATGGTTTCTGCAAGGAGGGTGATTTAGAATCAGCCTTTGGTATTAGGAAAGAAATGATTGAAAGAGGAATCAAGCTTGACAATGTAGCCTTCACAGCTCTTATATCGGGACTTTGTCGAGGTGGGAATGTAACAGAGGCTGAAAGAACATTGAGGGAGATGCTCAAAGAAGGATTGAAACCGGATGATGCTACATATACTATGGTCATTGATGGATTTTGCAAACGGGGGAATGTTAAGATGGGTTTTAAGTTGCTTAAGGAGATGCAGTGTGATGGGCATGTACCAAGTGTGGTAACCTATAATGTGCTAATGAATGGGCTCTGCAAACAAGGGCAGCTTAAAAATGCTAATATGCTCTTGGATGCTATGCTTAATCTAGGGGTGGTTCCAGATGACATTACATATAACATTCTATTAGAGGGCCATTGCAAGCATGGAAACTCAGAAGATTTTGATAAACTACGAAGTGAGAAGGGGCTTGTATTGGATTATGCTTCTTATACCTCACTTGTCAATAAAACATTGAAAGATCGGCAGAATAGATGATTGTATTGTGTCTTAAACCAATTGTCTCAAAGTAGGTTGGCTTTGCTGTCAAGGACTGCAAGTTTTATAATGACCTGAGAGGACTTTTTGATGATTTTCTATGTTACGTATCAGGGCAGCTCAAGCAAAAGGAGTAAAGTGATTAGAGATATATCCATGGCCAAACACATGCATTTTGGTAATTATTCCATTGAGAGAAGAAAGATTACAGATTTTATTTTCAATTCGAAAGTATGTTGGCTTAGCTGATCTCAGAGTGCAATACCTCTGGAAGATGATAATTCTTTTCAACCATAAGCTCACATAGCACCATAGTTACCTGTCTATAATGTTTTGGTAGTCAGAAAACATACTTAGCTATACAGCTTTTGTCTTCTTAAGAGTTAGCTTGTTTTTGCCATTGTGGACACCTGGTCCATTTTTTTAACTCTTCTTCATCATCAATACATAGCTTTTTCTTCGGATCAAGAAGACAGCACCAGAGTTTTAACTCTGAGGTCGAGTGGGATGGGTTGGAATTATAATATTGATGTAGTACTGTAGTTCTTGCCTGAGTGAAAGGGAATGGGTCTTTTTCAATTGGCAGTTAGGAAATATTGTGCCCTAAGATGATTACCCCTGCAAGATTTTTGGTGTTTATGTGATAAAGGACCTCTATGATCGCTGCTAGTGGATATCTTTGGTGCCTCTGAGCAGTACAGAACCTAAGGAGCAGATCAGTGAATATTTGTATCCATCTTGATTGGAGAGATTTCATTTCTGCTGTAGACAACCTGACAATGGATACAGTTTATTTCCTTATTCCAGTTCTTCATGATGAGCTTGTCCTGAAGGATTTGGCAGTTCCTCTGGCTTATAATATAAGTTAGGAACTTTAAATGTGAACTTTGATATGCAGAGAGAGAAGATGAAATATGTGACTTTAGTCTTTGTGTGGTCTTTTAATTTATCTTTTGTTCCTCGTCCTGGGCAACTTCATGACTTTAGTTTTATTGTAAATCGTTGTTCCCGTGCATGTTCTTTTGGGTCGCTGGCATACTTTTCATTGGAGCATAAGCTATATTAACTTAGGAGGAGCGGAGTGATTAGAGCTTTATGGTATTGTGGACAAGCTATTAAGCTATCATTTAGGGCCTTTTCATTCTTCTCATTGTTGGAATATTCATACTCTCATATATTGTGCAGTAAGCCCAGGCAACTATATCCTGAGCAAGTTTTCATTTCCTAATTGAAACAAAAACAAAAACTTCTTACATTACAAGTTCGTATCCAAAATATTGACTTCTTATTTTAAAATTTTTGTCTGCACTGTCTATTTCAGTCAATTTTCTTATACACAAAAATCGGTGATAATTCTACGTTATGAGTATAAAATATGCTTTGAATTACAATGCTATTGAACAGCCTCTATATCAGGCTCAGCTCAATCTTTACAAATTGGAAGCTCAGCTCGGAACTAAAATTCATCCCGGAAGTCTTGGATAAATCAACACACAAGCCATCCATAATATAATTCAATTAGACAGTGATACTGGAGATATGAGCTTAAACGACAAAAGTTTTGGTCACCTAAAACTGTAAATTCTACCCTGTTAATCCAAGATTTCAAACAATACTTTGTACTCAACTCACAACTTATGCACCATAATTTTCAAGATGGAGGCCGTCAGTTGTCACCATTTTCACCATCTTTCATGCTAATGTTCTCCTATTTTTTCTTTCTTCCAGTCCAGACCAGACCATATACATCTTTTGACTGCCTATGTAACAGAGTTGCATAATTGCATGTAAATAACCTAAAATAATAAATAAAAAGTTAATCAAACATACCGCCCTTGAGGCTTAAACAATTAACATTTCACAGGTGCATAGAAAAGTTTATTAGGTTAACACAAATAACCCACTCTTTTAACTTCCGTTAGGGCTCTCTTAAGGTTATTTCCATTACAACTCTTCCAACCTATAAAACTGAACTTACCCCTCTTAATCAGTCACTTACACTCCTTAACCATCAACTTAAAAAATTAGGTCGTGGTTCAGACGATCTAAGAATGATGGTTTTGACAACAAGAGATCGTCGGACACTTCTTTGAAAAAAATCAATTTAAAAAAAAAAAAATCTTAAATAGGTATTACTTTTTAAAACTTTTTCTAAATTTTTATTATTTTAAAATATTTAATTTATAATTCTTCTTATTTTAAAATATGAGGTCTTTTTTTTTTTTTACCTTCCCTAAGTTAATTTTAACACCAAAAGTAGATGGTAGGGGAGTAAGTGGCTAATTATAGGGGGTAATTTGTCGTTTTTTTTACGTTCAAGGGATGTAAGTGAAAAAAAAAAACCCTATTGGAGCCTTAACAGAAGTTAAGGGTTCGCTTTGACCGTTAAAAGTAGGTAACCTATTCCCTGTGTCTTTGTTTCTATTGTATTTTATCTCATCGTATCACATTTTGTTCTGCGATATTTAAGAATCATCGTCAATACCTCGGTGTAGGTCCGGGATAGTCCTTTGTTCCATAGTCCTAGGGTTATTTACAATTAGCCAATTAAGAATTCTCAGATGTACTAGTACTAGCAAGTGCATCAAAGATGCAGTCATCGATTCTCCCTAGAAAGGGATGAGGTGTTTGTATTAACCTATTAATCTTTTCTATGTGTCTGTAAATTGTTGAAACCTCAGAGGAAGTCAGTGTAATTAACTCATAAATAAATAATTAAAGATAGTAGTTTTCTACTAATCCAAAATCAATTCATCTCCTTTTATAAAAATTACGGAATGAAATTTAAACTTTGGACAGCAATGATTAGAAGTTAAGCTAACTAGCATCCAAATAAAGAACAATTTTCTACTCTTCTCTAAGGCTACATGAGAATTGATACCTTGCGTTTCCCATGAAAATTAAGATAAGATTTTCTATTAATTATATATGCATATAAACAGAATATAGAGATCGTCATTGTCACTAGCTCACTATTTATTTCTTTTGAGAAATCAATTATCATCTACAAAAATAAGCGTTATATATTTATATATACACACACCCACTATGTTTATTGTTTGATAAATGGGAGATGTTGGGTTTTTGGTGGGACTCTCTATCCAAATGTGTGCCGAAAGGTGGGACTTCCCTTAACTTAGGTTTTCTTTTTTATTTAGTATTGCATTACATCCCAAAACTTTATTTAATCAGTCAAATTCAAAACATATACTACAAACAAAAACGTCATCATACTGGTGCTCCATTCTGTCCAGCTAGTTGTTGAAAATATTAAACCACTGGTCCCTCTCCTCCATTATTGAGGTTTAAAGAACTCCCGCATTATATGCTTTTTAAGACTAGCTTTTTTTTTTTACTTCCATATACAACAATATATTTCTGGGTTAAAGTTTATCACCATTTTCTACTTTCTGCAATTAACCCCAAAAAAAACAAAAAAAGATGATTATATCTTCATGAAACCTCTATTTTTCTTGTGCTTTTTGATAAGATTGTTGAATTTTTCTCTCCAGCTCTATCAATTTAAAATTAAAACAAAAGAAGGGCCAAATGAAACGCGTGGAAAGTGGTGGCAATGGCCACATAAAAATAAAAGAATAGCTAGCATCCATGATAGCAGCAGCAAAAGCAAATTGTTATGGTGGTTGTGGGTTCGGTTTAGTATTTCGATTCCACACTTGGAAAAATATTCAAAGAAGACGGTGTGGCGTTTCCTTTCTTTGTATAAATCATTGCTTTAGTTTTGTCAGAAAGTGAGATTCCAAGGGCGTGCGTGTTAGGTTGTCGAGGAACTTCCAAAAACTGAACAATCAATTTGTCACAGCTAGCAAGTACGCTACTGTGCTCTCTTTTTCTCCATCGCCAGCTGCCCCAATGATACTCTTTTAAGTCCCTTCTTTACGTCCAAGTGGTTTGGGCTTCTTAATTACTAGATTTGCCTATGCTTTTACCTTTACAGCAGCAACTGGTAAAGTGAAGACTGAAGACTTCCCTAGATCATTAAATGATGTGATTAGGGTTGAATTAAGGGAAGTAATGATGATGATTGATGTGATCTGATCTGATCACAACTCTGATGTTAAAAATCAAGTCTTCGTCAAATTTTGATGACTAGGCTACTACAACAGCGCGTACCGACCACTTTTAGAGCATGCAATGGACCCCGATACTTTATTATATAGATGCATTTTCCTTGTGTCGATTAGTGGGTAAGTTATCTGTCCAATTCCAATAACAGTTTACCCCCCATCATCTTTCATTTATAATATAATATACTTGTGTACGCAATCAAATTCTTGTCATATCAAATTGCAAGCTTGCACCGTGTAGTAAAATAATAATATTATTATTATTATTATTATTATTAATAATAATTATTATTATTTTTTATTGATTATTGAGTGTCTGAATCATTATCCTTAAGTGTATTAAATATCTTATAAATTTATATTTCAAAATAATCACAACATAATAAATGATCTCAAATTTAAACTCAAAAATTAATATAAAGAGCAATCAACAGTTAGAGTTGATAATATTATATTATTAAATTAATGAACATCTAAAAAGTTACGATTTGCTTCCACGCAACCAAAAAAATGATAAATATTTACCGTTAGAAATTATATGAAAATTGAATCCATGAAACAGAAATTGATTATAAAGAGAGGGTTGAAGTACTAATTAAAAGGGCAAAAACTGTAGAATGAGAACGGCAATGATATTTGAGAATGGGAAATGATAGATGATGAATGGTAGATTCACAGAAGGTTAAGCTAAAAGTTAAGAGAAGTTATTGTGTCCATAACCTAACTTTCATCTAATCATTCATGTGACTGTCTCCTCCTCCTCCAACAATCAGGATTCACTCACCAACCATGTTCGCTACTTGTCATGCATTCCAACACTTGTGGATCCCACTCTTTTTTTTTTTTTTTTAATAATTCAAAATTGTTTTATAACGAGAAATATCAAGCCACAAGTTTGAATTAGAATCCCTGTAGAAATCACATGAGTCTCTATCAACCCCTACCATTTTTGGAAAACGATAAAGTTTTTAAGTACACAGATATCTAGGAGGAGGGACTTAAGTGCAAACCCTTACAAAAATGAACGTTAAGACTTAATCCTCCTCCTTTCTTCTTACTGTCTTTTTCTTCTTCTCATATTTTCTGACATTCACGTGAAAATGTTAAGAATAATCACAACTGGTACAGGCGGTTATCAATATGAAGGCCATCTGTTACGAACTTAGCTTTTTCTCCGAAACGCTTTTGCTTCGAACGTTTCTTTGTGATATAATAATTTTGACTGCTACGATATCATTTACTATTAAAGGATCTCTAAACACGATTATATTATAATTAATGTAAATAATATAATAATAAACAATAATTAGGCTGTAAATGAGTCACATGATTTTCACATCCTAATATATACATAGCCTCAGCATCATTCATAGAACACAGTAGAATGGCCTATACTCGATAGTCCCATGGGACCATCTGGCCTACCCCCCTTACATTGCCATAACATCATAAACCAGACAATCGGACGGCCATTACTCTTTTTAAGTATTTGTGTACAGTCTCACTAGAAAATATCTAAATATTAACTCTCTTCTGTCCATGCACGTTCGGTAAACAGCACCACCACATATATTTACGCTGATCTGCTACAGTCAGCCTTACCGAAACCCACTCTCTTGTTGGTGAGATCAATTCCACCCACAGATTTTGCTGATGAAAGTTTCCAATAATATTACTTGGGATGCCAAGCATATCTGACCGTCCAATTCCAACAATGGACCCCACCTCCAACTTGCTAACATCTTTCTTTTGGAATCACTATCTCCACTCCTTTATCAAACTCCAACACCATTCGCCTATCAGCCGTCCGATCTCTAGAGCATTTCCGTCGAAACACATGTCTGAAACTCCACCATACACGTACCCCTTTTTTAACTTTGGCCCACCAGTCTTACGACCTGTGCTTTTATTTGATTGTAAGCTTCGTCCACCAAATAGGTACTCGGATCCAGAATCCACGATTGTTTGACCCGACCCCTGCATCGGGCCGAATACCGACGCTGGAATATTTATTTTTTTCCACTCATTCGTATTCCTTGCAAAACAACAGTGTATGCCAAAGGATCCAAATTTGGCATGCGTTGACTTTGAGGAAAAGTCAATAGTTAACATATTGGACCCGGCTGAGTTCGGGTTTTC